CTAATAAAGCAGTGAATAATTAATGTAATGTGAGTTTTAAAATTAAAATAAAAGTTATGATGCATTGGTGATGTGTCCCACATTATCCCCCATAAGCATCGTTTTTGTCCCACATTTGGGTTTTCAGAATCTGGTTACCTTAATAACAGTGCATGTATTTGCTATTTTTGACTGATTTTTGACAAATAATTGAAGCAAGTAAACTTTATTTCTATAGCACCTTTCACAGACACAAACATCACAAAGTTCTTAACATAGAGCAAAATAAATAACTAAAAACAATAAAACAGATTACAAATATAAAAAAACAACAATTAAAGCACAATAAAAAACATATTATTGTCTGAATAAAAATGTCTTAAGATGTTTCTTAAAAGAGTGAGAAGAATCTGAACARCCCCCATTTACTTTATGCAAAGCTAGTGTAATGGTTGTAAGGTTTGAGTCTATACAAATTCCTCTCAGCAAAAACCATGAAAAAACATAATTTCCCTTAGACCAATGAGCTGCTTACTCAGCACTATTTCAGGCACTTGTTTTGGACCCCATCAGACCTTGACTGAATCTCGTCCCTTTGCCATGCTCATGGTTGTTGGTTCAGATTTGTTCAAGTTGATTGCTACCAGGCTGCAGCCTTGCTTCCACAGTCAAGATGAGAGCACACTGGGCAGCTGTTTCCTCTGCAGAAAGGATATTTGCTCACGTTACTGCAAATACCATCATACACCCTCCCCACTACACAACGCCAGTTGCAACCCTCCTACCAGCCTGTAGCCTGATCCAGCTGAAGAATGGCTTCTAATGGCAGTCAGCCATTAACTAATGCCTGTTGTTTTTTCTGGACTGCTTTAATATTTTCCAGCAGAGAGCTCTACATAAACTTGGATTGTCGTACCAAGATGATGAACTGTTCCGTCTTACTTTCCTGTTCGTCCTTTCTTCCTTCCTTCCCTTTCCTGCTCCCTGGCCTTCACAGATAAATGGCTCTTTTAAGCTTGGAGCTGCTCGTGTTCTGTCTGGCTGGCAGATGCAGTGCCTAGTCCCCGGCCACCAGGACAACGGCAACATGAACGGGACGTCTGAACAGGCCGACATCCTTCCGCCAAACTGCATGGTCAAAGACCGATGGAAAGTGGTAAAGCACTGTCATTTCACAGTACACAATCTACAGACACACTATTTGTAAAATCAGTTTGATTGTTTTTTCTCCTCGTTTTTCTTACAGTTTTCATAAGTAAAAACACTGAAGACAAATTTCACTCACTTTTAATCTTTTATTTTTTTATTGCATGCAGTTCACTTCAAGTTTGTTTATATAGCGCCAAGTCACAATAAATGTCGTCTCAGCGCACTATACTCAAAAAAACTGAAAAACTRAAGAAACCAGCAGATTGTGTTGAATCAACAACGTGATTCAACACAATATTTAAATAACAATTAATCCTCATGAATGTCCGTTCAACTGAGTAGATAAACACATTTTAATTTTGGTATTTTTCATGTGAAATTACCTGATGCAGTCAGTTGTTATTTTGTTTTCATTCTTCATTTCATTTTATTTTCCAGAACAAATCCTTAAGAAAACCAGTACAAATGAATAAACACTCATAATATATTCAACTTAAAATAAAATGTTTTCATGAAATGTTTTAATTCTTTTGGATGAATGAACAAAGTACAATAATAACCAATACTGGGAAAGGTTAAGCAGGAAAGGAAAAGCAGGTTATTAGCTAAGTAAATAAATATTATTTTGAAACAGGTATGCACTAGGTTATTTTTGAATAAATCTTTACACAATAAAAAAGAATAAAAAAGAAAACAAGTAACTTTTTTTAATTTTTTATTAATATATTCATTTGAGATACAAGACAAATTAAAAGACTGATTGTGGTGATTTCCTGTGTGAAGTAGGTGCTGTTTCTTTTATTAGATAATTTTGTGATTTCTTACTGTCAATGCTTCACATTCTGTTTCTTAGCTGAAGAAGATCGGTGGGGGTGGATTCGGTGAGATTTATGAGGCTTTGGACTTGCTAACACGGGAAAATGTGGCGTTGAAGGTGGAGTCAGCGCAGCAGCCCAAGCAGGTTCTGAAGATGGAGGTGGCAGTACTGAAGAAGCTGCAGGGTGAGAGCCTCAACACCTTTAATCTGCTCTACCTCAAATGTTTAATGTTCAAGTATTTGTTAACAGAAACATAAATATTCTCTCCTCAAGCTAAAGCCATTCTGTTATCAAAAAATATTTAAATCCTTGACTTGAACATTGTGATGCAACTGACTTAGCTACTGTACATGTCTGGTTAGCCCCCCTTTACATTGGGCTAA